CGCTCTGCCATTGCATTGGCAATTTATGTTCATTGAGTTGATGTTGATTTGCGCGCGGCGGCATGATTTTTTAATGGAATGTAATTTTACTTTGGGGCGTGGAGTGCGCATATTGGACTTTGCAGAGCAGCGAAACGACCCAATGTTCGAGCGTTCGACTGGCTGTGTGTCTGAATGTTTGAATGTCTGCGTGTCTGAGTGGACGACTGGCGTGCACTCGATTGCATTTTARGCGCTGCATTTGCTGGCCGTGTGCCAGAAACCAAAACCGGAAAGACGGCCCCCAAACCGAAACGAAAAAAAAGAAGCTAAATAAATCGTTGCCAACGCAATTTGCATCAGCTGTGCTGTTTGCTCTTGTCGCCGGCACACGCTGCGTATGCGTAATGTGATGAACACATTTGAGCTTAAACTGTGGCCAATTGGTTGCCAGGCTATCAGCCGCAATGGATACAAACGTTACTCCATGCGCTGATTCGATTCGCGTAAGTATCCAGTAATGAGCTGCAAATAGACAATTTAATTGGCTCACGCTATGATAATGAGTAATGAAGTGATGGGATTATTTCCAAGAATTTTGCAGCTTAAACAACACATGAAATTGAAGCTGCTAGCTGTTAAAACCAATTTAATTTAATTATATTACTTTAAGAGTATTTAATCCCGAAATGAAAGGCAGAGATATTTCCAACTCTTGATTGCCATTTGAATATTCCAAYGGAATGCGAATAAATATATTTTTCATTGTTCTTTTGCAGCGTAAAATATTTTTAGAATATTTCATTCAGATTGTTGTATATTGTGTTCTTTCATTACCTTTTCCCACGTTTAAAAATAAATAAAAATAAATCCATTTCCATTCACATAAGCAATCCAAATCCAATCCAAATCTGTCTGGCATTCACTAAAACTATAATTGAAAGTCATATTGACAATTTGAATCAACTAATCAATAAGTTTTGTATTTAACAAATTCAGTTGCCAGCCCCGACATAGTCTAAGACTAAGTTTGAATTTACTTCCTACATTAGCATTACATTAATTCATGGCTTGCCAGCGAAGCTGCTCGCGTCTATTGTTTCAATTCATATGATTTGCAGTTTTGAAAATCAAGTTTAACACAATTGGAGATATCCGCTGCGTGCAAGCATTATATAARCTGAGTGCCCATAATGCATGTGTAAGGTTCAGCCGACATGCAATCGAGACAGTCAGAGTCAGACACAGACGCTCGCGCTGACAACGACTGAGTGAGTAGACTCAGTAGTTGACAGTAG